GTTGGGGAACAAACTGATGACGGGGCTGCAAACAAGACAAGAGACACAGTTGAATCTAAGAACAGAAAACCGAGATCTAAAAAAAGGAAACATAGGGATGATGTCACACATAGCAATGGTGAAAAAGTATGTAACTTTGAAAATATGGAGCAGAGTAAAAGGGATGGAAATAATGCTCCTGTTGCAGATGGACTGGAGGAAAAGATGGTAGAGATCAAACACAGCGAACTGAATGGTGTTTTGGTTAACGATGGTAGATCTGAGGGCATTGATGCAAGAAAGACTGAATTTGGTCTGCATGCAGATATTAAGAATGATGAAGTTGAATACAAGAGTCGTGAAGAATTGGAGAGGGGACAAAAGAAAAATGAAGGTGGGCGACCTGGGAGCTTCATCAAGTTGGAACAAACTCAAGTTGATAAGAGCAGGAATGGAATGGAGATGGAGACGGAAGTCAGATCCAACAAGAGGAAGAAACAAAGATCTAAGAAAGGGAAGCGTAGCGTGGATATTGGACAAAACAATGATGAGAACTTGAAGAGATTCTTTGTTAAGGAACCTATTGAAAATGATGGTGGTGATGGTGTTCATAAAGATGCTTTCAAAATGGAGAGTGGCATCAACAGGGAACAACCAGAAGAAGTTGGTCTCCATGCAGCTCCAGTTAGAATAGGGGAAGTAAAAACAGAAGTCAAATCCAAGAAAAATAGAAAACGATCTAAAGAAAAGAAACACAGTAACAGTGAAGCTCTTTCATGCAACAATGACGGTGAATTCAAGAGTTGTAGTTCTTAATTTTTTATGATTATTAAAATCATGTGTAAAGTGAAATTTTGGAATACAAGTTTTAAAATAATTATTTTCAATATTTTCAAACTTGAGTGTTTCATATTCAGGTTTGGAAATTCAATCAGAGAATTATTTGCGCTTTCTTTTTTGAAAGTATTTAAATCACACCTTAAATGTCTTTTCTTAAGTCAAAGATCAGTTTTTCATTTCTGAATATCACACCAGTGGGAACCTTAATTCTTGCAAGACTTAAGATTCCATATTTATGGTTAGGTTTTCTTATATAAAAATTTTCTGAATTGAGCAATTGAAACTGCCATAAAGTTCCAGAACTAAACTGTAAATTCCATAACATTGTTGTTCTCTGACTTCTCTGTCCAGAACATCAACAAGTTTTAGAACCTTGGATAGAATTTTGAAATTAAAGACTTTCCATAATCGAAATAACAAGGATGGTGATAATGCAAGTGTATGTGCATTCTGTGAAAGGAGAACTGAAGTGGAGTCAGCTGCCGATGGAATGAAGCAGAAATGAACTTGGAGCCAAGTAACAATGCAAAGATGTTAAATAGCATTCAAATAGAACACAGTGAAGGTACTAGCGGACATGCCGTTGCAGATGGATTGCTGATAAAAAATTCAGAAGCCCAACCCTTGAGAAGAAGACAAAAACGAAGGTCAAAGAAAGCGAAGCTCTTGGAGGGCGGGCCTCTCGCAAATGACAGGAAACAAGAACTGAAGTGGAACTGAAGGATGGTTATAAGAAGAAAAGAAGACGAAGGTTAACGAGAAGACAAAGACTGATGGTTAAAGAAACAGAAGCTCATGGAAGTTAAGTTTGCCAATTAGAAGTTGTCTAATATTAAGAACAAGGGGTGACATTAATACTACATGGATGGGAATATAAGGGAGTGTTTGTTTTGGTTTTATGCAAATAGTTATCACTCGATAGACGATAGTTTTAATCAAATGTGTTAAATATTTTAAATTATAAACAACAACAATTATCAGTCATTATATATCAACTATTAACTATCAGTTGTATCAAAAAAGTTAATTCAATAAGCTCCTAAGTTTAATCAAGAGAAAAAGCACGGATTCAAAGAGAAAAGGATGAAAAATGGATAACGTTGACGGAAAGATCTCTCCCAACATCATCCTCTCCCAGAAGAGAGAAAGGGGAGGTCCTTGGACGATCAAGTCAAGAAGAAAGGGGAACGAAACATACATTGTGTTTGTGCCTGAAACAATGGAACAAATTATCTCATGGGTTGGGGTCAGAGTTTAGGGTTTAGAACTTAAATTTGATTTTTATTCATAATTTGAAAAATGACATTAATTGATATATATTTCAGTTTAACATATTTCATAACACATTTATTAAAAATTATTATTTTTAATCTAAAATTAAAAGTAAATAAATTTAACAATATAACAATACATATGATGTAAAAACTAATTAAATTGAGTATACTTATATTATAATTTAACGACAAAACCAAGCATGTATTGGAAAGTATGTTGACCTAGAAACAATACTAAATATTTTCCTTTGAAAATTTTACTCCTGAATTATCTCATACGGTGCATCCACTTAGGAATGTATTTTCACTTAACACAATTTTATGAGATTAGTTGAGGTAATTTAACTTTCTTTGTGGTGCTGAGTTGGGATTCTGTTGGCTACCTAATTATAGTTCAGCATCAGAACATCATCACTTGTTCTCCTGCTTGTTTCCTTCTTAATTTTCATCAATAAGCAACAGTGAACAGTGGTCAAACTGAAGCAACATGCATGCGTGGATTCAGTATGGGCAAACGGTGAATGAGAATATCTCTCCCTAAGCTCCGAGCCATCATATTGGTTTAGTATTGTTGTGATTTCGGATTTTTA